CCGGGGGTGTCCCGGCCCCGAGCCGTGTCCCCGGGACGGGCGGGTGGTGTGGTTTGAGGAACCCACAATTTATTGTCGTTGAGACAATGATTCCATTGCCTGATGACCCCTCCCCACCTGGGAAGGGGAATCAGGGGGGGAAAAACCCAAGGAAACCAGAGGGTGGAAATATAAACAGATTTAATAGAATAAGACTAAATAATTAACATTAATAATACTGAAGAACCAGTATTGATCCTGATACCAATATAAAATACCCAAGGACTATCCCCAGCCCGTTCCATCAGTAGAGCTGTGCGCTCCCAGCAGTGACAGCCAACGTGGGACCCTGCGAGCGCTGCGGGAGGAAGGGAAGGGCTCCGGGCTCCGGCACCGGGGCGAGACGCTCTCAGGATGGCAGCCGTCACGGGGGAGAAAACGCTCCTCAGCAAACTTTCCAATTTATCTTGACTGTGCCATTCATGGTATGAAATAACCCTGTGGGCAGCTTGGGTCAAGTGCCCGGGTCTCGCTCCTCCTCATCCCTGCACCTGGTGAGCTCAAAAACACTGAGACCTTGAAACCCACATCCCATAGCTGGCTAGAAAGTATTTTCACAAATTCAGACACTAGAGTCTTCTAAAAGTGCAGTTTTCCCGAGCGTTAGAAGAGACCTTACTGCAAAGCAGAATTACTGAAAGAGAAATGACTCCTGTGCCTCTCAAACCAGGACACAGAGGCGAGCCGGAGGGCAGAGACCGACCCTACCGCTTGCATCCCCCCGAGCCACACTCCTCTGGGCTCCCCCCGGCTCCTGCCTCTGCCGTGGGCAGTGGGGCAGTTCCTCTCTCGGTATTTGGTAGGAAGCGGTGGAGCGAATGGCTCCTCTTTGAAGCGCAGCCCTGTCAGCTCCAGGTCCCCTCTCTCTGATCTCAAAGCGCCTCGTAGCTCAGATGAAAGGGGAAAGGCACCGACTCTGCAGCTAACAACCTGCTCGCTAATTATTTACATCCCACCTGCTTGTCCCTGGCTGCCTACACAGGCACTACAGTGTCTGTCCCCATCCCCTGTCACGTTCCCATCTGTGCTCCTGATGCTTTGTTTGTTTACACACCGTATCTTGGAAGGTTGTATAAATGAAACGGTCTAATTGCAGAAAGGAGCTCTACTCCTGATGCAGAAATGAAGCTGGGGCCGGGGTGGAGGAGCTGCCCACAGCATCTTTGGGTTGTGCTCCAGACCCCCAGTGAGGAGCACGGAGCCCAACTGAGACAGTCTTGACATTGGGGAGGGCTCCAGGGTGAGATCTGCGGGGGGGTGATGCTGCAGGGAGCAGTGAGCGGGGCCCCGGGGCCAGGCACTTCTCTCTAACAGCATCTCTGGATGGTTAAAGGTCTGCTCGGTGTAGCAGAGCTGAGGGAAGGTGCTGAGAGCACCCCTCTGCGCGTGCAGCCCTGGGGGTGCTGCCCCAAGCATCCCTTTGAACTGTAAAAATTGGAGGAGGATGGAGGAGGCTTGGAGGGAGAGAGAGCCTTCTCCTCTCCTAGAACAAACCCTGTGTCTCCCGGCACAGCAAATCCCCATTTCAGCCGCCTCTGCACAGCCGAGTCTCTAGCTATTAATGAAGTGTTTTCCTTTGTCCTTAAGGAACCTTTCCCACACACAGCACAGCCTGATGCTCCTCTGCTCTTGCTTTCTCATTAGCCCCGAGCCCTGCTTAGTGCAGGGAGGCCGCGCTGGTCGAGGCTCAGGGTTGGGTGCTGCTGCGCTGGCTTTGTTAAGCCTGAGCAAGGGGAGGAGGAATCTGCTCCCTTTGTCTGGCTGCAGCACAGCTGGGGGCTGATCCTTTGCTTTCTCCCTCCAGAAAGGCTGAAGAGAGTGACAGACAAAGCAGCGTCATGGGAATAAACCCGCTCTCGGGCTTAATGAAGAGATGTCAGGGACTGGGGACAAGGCTGGGGGGAGACGGTCGGTCATCAAAGCCGGGGATGTGCCGAGCATTTAGAGAGGGAGAGAAAGAAGAGCTCTCTGAGTCGCAGCATAGAGAGAAGGAGGTCTGGGTCAGCTGCCTTTGTAGTGAAACCCAACTCTCGTCACCAGACAGGCTCCCTGGCGCGTCCCCAGCCAGCGGCAGGTCTCTCTGCGGCACTGGGGGTGCTTTTCCCCATGGTGGTGAAATGCAGAGCCAAGATTTCACAAAAGCCTTACACCTAGGTCTCGTTTGGACTTTTCTAGGCGTACTTCCCACCCTGAGCAGCTCTCCCAGGAGTTTGTCTCCATGTCTATCCCGATTTCAGGGGCTGGGGGCTTCCCGAGAGCAGCCGTGAGCTGTCGCTGTGACCCGCAGCCGGCCCTGCAGCCACCTCCGGCTCTGTCTGCCGGCTGCTCCCCAGACCCCGCTGGCAAAGGCAGCTGCCGAGGCTTCAGACGTTTCCAGCACGCCTCCACCGCACCGTGCTGCCAGATAACACCCACTCGGAGACCTCTGTACCTGAAGAACCGAAGCACTTTCCCTTGGTAATAATGTTGTTTGCTTTTTACTAGCAGATCGTAAACGGCTTAGCAAACCCAGAGGGGTAACCAGGCAGCAGGGAGGTGAGAAGAGCCGTATCGATAATTACCTGGTCGGTGGCAACTGCTAGGATTAGAGGGTCGCTCTGACCTGTCCCTGTGCTGGGCTCTGCTTGTGGGAGCCCCCCACCTCGGGACAGCCCCTCTCCTTTGGCGGCTGGTGGCTGGAGGTCAGCCTGGTCCCCGCTGCGGCGAAGGGGCTCTGCCGCTGCCTGACCCCGCTCAAGGCACCCGCCCGTGTTTTCAAACTAAGCTTCTTTCTTTATTTCAAGGAAAGGTTTCAAACTTTTAAGCGTGCTTTTGAAACTGTTCTGCTGGGTGGCAGAGCAGCCCAAGGTGGGGCTGGAGGAGCTCTGCTAATTAGTCATAGAATAAGAGATTTGATGAGATGGTCGAGCCACAGAGTATGTTACAACCTCTTATACTGGATCGGCTGTTTGTGTGTCCACCCCAGATGTCCACATATGCAGTGTAAATGACCCCAAGCAAAAGCACTGATTGCGGGGGCTCGGAGGTAAGCGTGCGTCCCATCCACAGCACTCACATTGCACCTCAAAAATGGTTCAGTCAGTGCCATTCCTGACCCCCCCCCCAACTCCTCCAGGGCTCCCCTGCTGTTGCTGGACTTCACTGGGGCCTCATCCATGGATCTCCTCTGGACCAAGGGCATCTCTCTCGTGGGGATAACGGGTGCCCAGCAGTCCGCAGCGAGCTGTTTGGTGGTACCAGGTTATTTAGGTAATAAATAACTTTTAGGTAATAATAAACTTTGAGGCTAATCAAGGACTGGATGGAGATACTGTGGGACTCCAGCAACAGCCACCTTCTTGCCGCCCACCCAGCCTCTGAGAACCACAGTCCTTCCCTGGCTCCTCCCGGCTCGTGGGAAGTCTCTGCCAGTGGGTTGACATTCCCTCCAGGAGCAGGGGAAATCCTCCAAATGTTCCCATTACCTCTACGGGCTTGATGGTGGCATTCACTAGTTGCAGCACGCTGGCAGACACGAGCTGGAGGTTTACATCTCTCCACTGATGGTTCTCACAACTGCACCTTGAATCCGGTTGGCTGTGTTGCTCCCGCTGCTGTGGGGAACGGGATGCTGCAGGAGATAATCTGCTTT